TCTCCAGTATCCTGCCACACCTGGGCTTAGACCCACAGGATATGAAATGGGCTGTTAACTGTTTCCCCAGCACTCTAAGACATACTGACCCCCAAACTAGCCTATGTTCATCAGCTATATGGAGCACATACAAATGATTAAAAGAATTAACTGAAGCTACTCCTTATTTAGAAAAAAAAAAAGAGAGAGAGAGAGAGAAAACCTTAATGACATGTAGTCTTTGTTTGAGAACAGCTACACCAACTCATGGGCAATGCCCAAGTGCACTGTGAAGAGAAAAGGCACATGTGGGTGCAGTACTTGGCAGATTTGTGTTAGGAGCCGTGCAAAACAGCAAGTCAGAGGACTCGTAGGTCCTGGAGCCTGTTATTCACAGCCAAGAAGAGCTTTCAATACCATCTTCATGGGAGAGCTCAGTTTCAGAAAGAAGAATGCTTCAAATACAGCATCTGTCTCATGTGTGCTTGAGTTCAACACTTAGTTCAGAAGATGGCTTCTACTTACCTTGAATATTATTTTGGATGCTGCATTTGGGTCGATGAGCTGCATTGCGTTGTCTTTGTTCACAGTGGGGCTACCACAGCTGAGCACATGGCCAGGACACACATACCTTAGCACTGCATGCAAGTCTTGCATCTCCCAAGAGGAGGTGGCACATCCTATGACAAAAGCTCTCATTCTGGCATTCACAGGAACCAAGTGTCCATCCCAGGTTTGGTCAGTTCTCCTCACAAGAAGAGATTTGAGGATTAACATCTCTTTTCCTTCAAGATCCAACATGCCTGAGAGTATCTGTAAAGTGAAAGTCAGCTAGCTCAAGTGCCTCCAGAATGCTAGCTAGAGAGATGGCCAAGGGGACAACTTTAAGATATATAAATTATCATCACTTGCCCCAGTACAGTTATTAAAAATCTTTATAGTTGGAAAATGACAGTGCCTTATTTAATTTATGCCAAAAGCAAAGACAAGAGGAGAACAGTGCTGAAGATTACTCTCCAAGTGTGATGTTCTCCTGTAACATAATGAAATGAGCTGGAGAGCAAAGTGAATTAGCGCTGCGGGCTGCCCTCGCCCCACTGATCCCGGAGAGCAACACGAAGGCTGCACTTGCCAGCTTGGTTTCCAAGGTCAGCAAGGACCAAAGTGGTCTGTCGCTCCTCCCTGTAATTTTAGCATTATCTGAGCAGCTGGCTCCAATCCTCATCATTTATTCTAATGAGGACAATTACTCCAGGGCCTCTGATAGGTGGCAAACTCCTTCAGGAGCAAGGAGAGCATGAGTATGAGGGGCTGCAGGTCTCCAGCTAGCTCCCACATTCAGGCATTTCAGCATCCCTTGGTAGCTGGTACGTCTGCTGCTCCTGGCCCAACTCAAGTGTGGTGGCTGTCCATCCTGCACTTGCCTCCTAAACTATTCCTGTCTCCCTTTCATGTCACTGGATAGCCCCAAAATTTGGGGGATGCTTTAAGCAGAGTTTTGTTTTGAAACTGTATTTTTTGTGCCCTGCAAAGAATTTACCTCTGAACAAATTGTATGTAAAGTTTTGATGGCAGCAATTAGCCACCTCAACATAAAGCCACTGAGCTTTGTGTTTCTGCGGGGAGGATCATCTCGGGCCGGCTCAAGACCCGACTACGACACAGCCACTGAAGGGTGTGGCAGATTTAGGTGCTCTCTGCAGCTGTAGTTCTGGCTCCGGGCTGAATTTTGCAGCATGCAGGAGTCTCTACTCCACCAATTTACTACCTGGTCCGGGGACAAGCAGTTGCCGGTTACCTGGAAAGCTTCATAACAAAGATGCAGCTCAAAGGGTGCATAAATAAAGATGGACATTCAGCCCAAAAGCTGAGCTGCAGGAAATACAGCAAACAGCGCTTCTCTGTGCGATGTCCACAGAGGATACAAGTTTTCACTCATTTTCGTGAAGGTAACCATTGATTTTATCGTGTTACTCCCATGCTGTGATTGAAGAGGAAGGGAAAAAGAGAGGGGCATCATTTCATAGTCAGCTAGAGCACCGCTTTTGGAAGGCAAAGTCACCCGAGAGCCGAACCCGCGGAGCAGAGCCGTGTCTCCCCAGAACACGCAGCGGGGTGCAGACGCTGGCGTGGAGCCTGTGCCCTCCTCTCTGACCAAGGGGACTGTGGCTGGCCAAATTCCCAGCAAGGAAACCAGTGGCTTCAGGGCACCTAAGAACTTAACTGCAAAACTCATTACATGCGGGAGCCCAGAGCCCTGGGCAGCCACTGTTTTGAGGGCAAACAATTTTACTGCTAAGGGTGTTGCTTGGTTTGGGTAAGCACTCAAGTCTACAAGCCTTTTGGAAACTTCTGCAATCCCCAGATCTCCATAGCTAATCCCAGGGGATTGCCAACCGGACTCGCGCAAGCCCACGACGAGGGAAGCGCAAACGCCTGGAGAAACTCGGAGGCTTCCCTGAGAAGCCGCGGGAGCCGTCCAGCTATTCAGTATCCAACTCCTTTCAGTGGGTCCAAAGGACTTGAAAATTTGGGATAAAACCACACAGTCCATGAGCAATTTAGGGCCGTGAAGGGGAAGGTTTTAAGGCCTGACCCTCACCCCACAGCACGGTCCCCTCGCGCAGGGCAGCACAGCCTCAGACGAACTACTCCCAGGTTTGCCCGTGCCCGACCCAACGCGGCCGGAAACGCGGGCTGTGGTGCGAGGGGTCCCCCAGGCTCGGCGGCCACATGAGAAACGGAGCGGTATTGCAGGAGGCCACTGGTTTCTGAGCATTGAAGCCCACAGGAGGAGAACGAGGGATGCAAAAGGCTGACATCACCCAGAGCGCGTGCTCTCCTCTTCCAGGAAACCGCGGGGTGCATCGTAATACACTTCTAATGAGAATGACAACTAGCAGCTCTAGGTCCCTGCTCCGGCAGCTCGCGGGGCAGCTCCCACCTGCAGCGCCCGAAACGTCACCGCTGCTTCTCGCTTGCTTGTTGCTGTTAATCACGTCCTCTCTTTGCACAGTACCCGATCAGCAGGGACAAGCCGTGGCCCTTCTAACCGCTCCCCATTATTCCTTGTTAGGCCCTTTGCTCCAATTCCCTGCTCCCCCTTCTGATATTAAATATTTAGGCCCCCCCTCCCCATGGAAAGCACACTTTGCCCGCTCCGGTAGGGCAGCTTTACTCGTGTCATCGCTTAGCCTGGAAGCAGCCCAGGGAGGCTCCAAGGCCGTCTCACAGCAGCCTTAATTTTGATTAATATCTCTTCCGGACTTTGAAACCATACAGGCATGCTTCCCTACCCAGCCAGGCTTGTTAAAATCATAAATCAATCTCTTTTGCTCCCTCTCAATGCTCAGAGACCTTTCCGGGTCCAGGCATCCTGCTACAGCCTGCGAGAGTTATTTCCTAGCTTTGCTTCGTCCCTCGGCAGAGAGCGAATCCACTCGCTGAAGCCGAAGAGCCAGAAACGTGTGTTTACTTGGAAGGAAATAAAAGCTTCCTCCTTGTGGACGCCGCGCTTCTGTACAGCTTCATGCACGCCGCAGAGGCCGGGGGCGAACCCCGAGCCCGTCTGAAGCGCCGGCGTCGCTCCTTCGCTTCGCTGCCAGCCCGGGCGTCCAGCCCGGCCCGCGGCACCCGGGGGCTTCGCCTCCTGTCGCACCCG